TTTAAAAAAAAAAAAAAAAAAAAAAAAAACCTGGTAAAACTTATTGACTCGAGTATAAGCCGAGTGTGGAAAATGCAGCAGCTACTGATACATTTCAAAAATAAAAATGGATACCAATACATTTACATTAATTGACGCATCAGTATGTTTGTTAAATGTTTTTGAAGATACTGCCGTTTTGAGCTGCAAGACACACTTCACTGCCTGCAGAGGGAGGACTCATACTGGATGCTGCGCTTATTTACTGCTCTACTGCTGCTTAACAAGATGGAGGGAGATGGAGGATGGAGGAGGAAGGTGGGATGAGTGGGTACATAGAATATGCAGAAGGAGGAGGATGGAATTGTCCTGGAAGCAGAAATGCAGCGTACTTAACCTGGGTCATTGGACCACCCACAGAGGCTGCAGGCACCCGTAGATGAGCGGGGGAGTCTGGAGAACACCCGCACTGCAGGGGAGAACATGTAATTTCGACACTGACTTGAGTATAAGTCGAGGGGGTGTTTTTTCAGCAAAAAATTGCACTGGAAAACTAGGCTTATACTCGAGTATATACAGTAACTTTATTGTTGACAATGAAGAAAATGAAATGATTGAAGATTTGTATACTTTGGCTCAACTATCAATCCAAAGGGAGGCTGCAGACAAGAAGAACTCAGAAGAGGGCTGAGATGAAGGAATTAGAACAGATCCTCAGGTGTTAAGGAGGTGTCCCTGGAGGCCAAGAGGAGGATCATCCACACTCCTGCATTCCCCAATCACTACGCTGGAGGACAGCTTTGTAGATACCCTGGACTCCCAGAAAGATTTGGTCCTGGATCAAATCAAGCCTGAACTTTCCCTGGAAGCCAAGAAGATAAAACTGAGGCTGTCCTACTTTGGGCACCTCCTGAGAAGGCATGGTCCTCCGGAAAAGACAAGAATCCTAGAAAAAGTCAAATCCAGCAGGAAAAGAGGAAAACCCACTATGAGGTGGACGAACTCCCTAAAGGGAGTTCACGAGAGCGGATCAGGGCCTTTCAGGACTGGATATTTTTGGAGGTCTCTCTCTCATTCGTAAGATCAGGATTTGTCAAAAGCAACGTGATGCCACAGAAGAACAAAACCTGATGATGGTGTCTAACGGCCCCTTGGAAAGCTCTCCGGACAAAGAGAAAAATGACTAATTTACACCTCTAAATGATGAACGATCAGGGAGGCTGGCCAAGTCTTTCAGTCCCCCTGCTTTAAAAATAACTTTTCTCCCCTCCCCCCCAGAAAAAAGGGATGGTCGGGTGGGTTCTGACTTGCAAGTCAAGTCCAAAAAGAAGAAGAAGAAGAAGAAGAAGAAGAAGAAGAAAAGAAGAAGAAGAAGAAGAAGAAGAAGAAGAAGAAGAAGAAGAAGAAGAAAAGAAGAAGAAGAAGAAGAAGAAGAAGAAGAAGAAGAAGAAGAAGAAGAAGAAGAAGAAGAAGAAGAAGAAGAAGCCCAAGTTGAGTCTGAGTTGAGTCGCCCGGTGCAACTTAAGTCTGCCTTGACAACAAACAGGTCCCGTGACTCCAGTCCTCTCCTGTGTGAACGATTGCGAGAATTTAGACGACAGGGAAGGTAAAAGGAGCCCTAACAAATCAGAGGGCGCCCTCAATAAATTGTTCTGTTCATTGATACTGTACCCCCAGATCATCCAAACCGGTGGTCTCGCTTGGGAACATCACTGAAAAAGATAAAAGAACGGGCATTCCCCCCCCCCATGATGAACCGGAACCCCTCAGCCTTCTACTGAGCCCGTCCTCCAAAAGAGGGGAAGTACAAGGGGGCAGGAGGGGGCCTGTGGCGTTCCTACTTACGGGAGGGGCCGATCTCCTGGCCCTGACGCTAGAAGAGGGTGGACGGCAGGACAAGCCAGGGAATGGGGTGGAGGCGGAAGGCTGCCGCCGCTGCCCCCCACCCCTCAGCGCCACTGCAGCCCTTTTCTACTTCCTGTGCGTCCAGGGCCGATGACGGGCTCAGAGGGCAGGGTACCACACCAGGCTGGCTGTTGTTCTGCCTTGGCTGGCAGCATGGTGCTTTTGCCCTCTCCGGTCCGTGAGCTGTTCAGCCGGCGTGTAAATAATGGGGTCGTAAATCCTTCGGCCTCCACATGCTTTTCCCATTAAAACACATGAAAAATCCATTACTCTTGAGCGCTCTCCCAATAAACGAAAAAATTACCCGGTCCGCGGCAACATAAACCAGCCCTGTTTTGCATTTGACGGTGAGAGCCCTGAAAGGAAAGCATTTGGATTCTCCAAATTGTGAAATGCTATTTCTTCGTTACATATAATGGCAAGCCAAAAAACCATTATGAAAACCATCCCAGGCCGGGCAAGCAAGACAGGAAGCCTGGCCTGAACCCGGTCAGTCAGGGCCCCCATGGCCCAGTTGCCCAAGGCCGGAGGAGGGCGCGGCTCGGATCCCTGTAGGGACCACACACCTGGATGCAAAGCCAGGCGGGGGGGGGGCAAAGGCCGAGGGGAGAAAAGTCTACCCAAATGGCACCAGGGGAGAGGCATTCAAAAACACCCTCCTCCAGGACTGGCTGAATCTAGCTCTCAACTCCACTCAAGCCACGGGCCGGGCAGATCCTCTCTGCCATGACCATCTTGGGACTTCCGTTCATGATTTGTCTACCCTAAGCCTAAAGAAGTGGATTTTATTCACATAAGCTTGTGCTTGACATTTGATTTGTAGTGGTCTAAAGAAAGGGATCACCCTTCTATCTCTGGATTGTGTAAAGGGCCACATGGCTACCTTTGTTGTTGTTGTTGTTGTTGTTGTTGTTGTTGTTGTTGTTGTTGTTGTTGTTGTTGTTGTTGTTGTTGTTGTTGTTGTTGTTGTTGTTGTTGTTGTTGTTGTTGTTGTTGTTTTCAAAGCCAAGCTGCCTCTCTAAAAAAGAACCGGGCACCAGGGCTTCATGGATGCAGCGAGGGCAAAGAGAAAGGACCTAACCTTTTGTTGCGTTATAATATCTTCACTAGGAAGGCAAAATTACCGTACTTGCAAAATCCTCGTTGTCCATGCAAGTGAGGTCCCTCACCCAGAGACACCAACATTTGTTCCAAGAGAAGCAACGGGCACCTCTGTTTTTGCACAAAAGGAGTTTCGTGCACATCTGAAATGTCCCCATGGAGGGCAAAGCGAATTTCCTCCCTGTCCTTCTTGAGGAGCGGACGGTCCCTCCTCCTTGTCTGCACCTCCGAGGATGAGGCGAGTCCTTTTCTCAAACTCATTAGCCTTTATGCACCCTCCTGCAAGACACATTCTCTCCCATCTCCAAGCCAGCTCCGTGAAGGGAAGGAGCACCTTTCAGCCTTCCCACAGCAGGAAGAAGGAAATGACAGGCAGGCTAGATTTTTACCCCAATGGGACAAAGCTTCCCCTGGATCAGCCACGGCTGGTCCCAGACAGGAGAGGCACACACTGGGCTTCACACCCAAATTGCACTGTTTTGGCCTCCCGTGTCTCAAAATCTAAGCTGAGAAATCTAGATCCTTGCCTGATCTTCACTTCTGAAGCTATTTTTTCCTTAACTTTTAAATATACATTTCATTTAAAGCTGCCAACCAGGACCCTCTGACATGGAAATGATCTTTACAGGACAGCTTCAAAGCACTAACATAGAGAGTCACGCACACACACCCTCCGAAGCACTGAAAATATCAGGTCAAGGTTTACATCCTCTGGAATGGAGGAAAATCACACCAAAACAGCACAGAATACAGTATTTTTGCAGGAACGGACACTCAGTTTGGAGAGGAAAGTCAAGAGTTGGGAGAGATCTGGTGCCTTCGTTTCCAGGGGAGACTGAATTTAACCTTAGCCCCATCCGGGTGAACGCCACCCCTGGGCACAACGGAATACAAAGGGAGGATGCTACACCTTTCCAGCAGGGAAATCGCGGCCCCTCGCCAGATTGGAAATCCTGGGGTTCCACGGGATGCAGCATTGCCAGTTACAGGAGCATCCAACAGGAATAACTGCGTAATATCCTGTTAGTTACGCTCACCCTTAGGAGTCTACATTCTTATTTTATTTATTTATTTGTTTTTTCAACTTGTATGTCGCCCACACTCTGCAAGAGTCTCCTTCTTTCTTTCTTCCCTGCATCCTTCTGCTGCTTCTCTCCCTTTTGCACTGCTCACAGCAATAACTCTTGGCTCTACCCATGCCCATCAAAGGGAGGGGGGGCAGACCTTCAGCTGTGCTTCCCCTCTTTAAAAACTTAGCTCCCTTTTTCATCCACAGCTGCTCTTACTCTGGACCTCACTGGAAATGATAACTGAAACCAAAACCAGCTTTCGCAGCGCAACCCTGCACACGTTTATTGGGACGTAAGGAAAGCCCCCAAGCCCCCGTGCCTCTGAGCAAATGCATTTAAGACGGCAGAATAAAGTGGATAGACAGCAACAGCGCTAGCTTTGCGGAGGCATGGCCTCTTCCCTAACAAAGAGTGGAATATAATGCCTACATGGGTGTGCGCGTGTGCACGTATGCACATGCTGGTGCCACCCAACTGTGAGTCCAGCAGAGAACTTTAAGCGAAGCCAGCCACCGTTGCTAGCTGAGATGGCAGTGGTGATTCGCCTCCCCATGGAATTTATGCATTTATTTCAATTACAGTGGCATAATAGGAGCACACAAAGCTCAGGCATTCAAAAGCTCTGTGAAGCAGAAAGCAAAGCTGCTCAGGGGAATGGAAGCGAGGCCTTCTTACCCCACGGTGCAGGAAGACCCCCGTCTCAGTGCGACGCTTCTGGACCAAGACCCTCGCCAGAGACGGCCCCTCGTCCCTCAGAGCACCTCACTCCTTCCAGCAAGCCGTGAGAAGCGGGTGCCCCCCCCAGGGAGGAGTGGCAGAGCCCCCGTTGCTTCCCAGAAGGCCACTCCGGCTCTTTCGGGCTCTTCTCTCATCTTCTGCTCTTGCTCTTTGTCAAGCAGACCGATGTATCTCTTGGTTTCTCCAGGACACAGAGATGAAAGGTCTGGAATTAGCTCCTACAAAGACCGAACTGACGCTTGGCCAGCGCTTGGAAAAGTTATTTCTGGGGTGGTGGCAGTGGGTGGGGGGGAAGAGGACTACAATTCCCAGAGTCCTGCCGCCAGTTGGCCGGGTGATCTATGAACTGCCGGTCAGAACAGGAGCTTTTCTGTGCCCTCCGTGGGGTGGCTTCAGATTTGCCGCTGTTTTAAAAACTTCCTGGGTGAAGTTTGCAGATGCTGAGCAAATGTTCGGAGAGCTCCCAAGCCAAAGGCGTGGGAGATCCGTCCGTTTCCAGGCTTTGCTGGGGTTAGGAGCTACGCGCCACATGATCAGAGCAGCCCGGCAGCCGGGTGGAGGAACAAGCCACAATTTATGAACGGCAGAAACAACAAATAATTGTGGGTTTGGAGGACTAATGAACAGAGGACCCCATTCTAAACACATTCACACTCCAGCGCCTTTCAAGTCAAAGAAAGTTCAAAGCCTGGGCGTGTGTTTACTGGAGGATTCAAGGGCATCAATGAAGATCAAAGAAGCTGCATTCCTCAGGAAGACTGGAGGAGCTTATTATGGGTGGTGCTGGGGAGGAGATGCTGGCCTCCTTCAGAATTGAGAGGCAGTTCCTCCTCTTGCGAAGGAGTGCCGCTCAAAGGGCCTTAGGGCTGGTCCTAGGGAGAACTCGGCTGGCCGAAGGGAGAAAGAACCCAACCCCTGATGTGTGTGTGTGTGTGTGAGAGAGAGAGAGAGAGAGAGAGAGGTCTGGGGAATGGGGCCCAGCGGGAGAGCTGATTTCTGGACAACAGAGCAAGAGAACAAACCCGTCAGCAGGGAGAAGGTGCAGGGCTCTAATGACCTCGTTTGCGTTGGGGATTATGATTCGATCTGGCTGGGCCAAGTATTCAAAAATGCCTCTGCGCATGTTCTTCTTCCTTGCACCACTTTAAGCTTTGCGTCCAAAGGCATCGAGTGTCTCTGTGAGTTTTCTACGGGGCATTGACTTTTTGCTTGGAATGCGTTGCAATGCTTTCCGCTCAAGGTGCCATGACGTTCAGCTCCTTCTTAGATTATAAGCCAGCCTGCCACTTCTGCCCACCTGCTTAAGTTCGTGTCCCAGAGGGTCTGCCCGTTAAGGATGGGGAACGTCTCCTTCCCAATAGGAGCCAACAAAGCATGTACAGAGAGCCAAGGGGGATTTCGGGAAGGAGGGTCAGGACAGGAGAAGCAGCAACAGCCGCCGCTCAGCCTTTCGAGAGGTTGCCAGGTTTGAGCCCCATTTGTCCGTCACACACTCAACAATCCAGTCTGGGACAGAAACGGATGGGACGTTCCTTGGAGAAACCAAAATATCCAGTGGAGCCAATCTGATCCCTAGTTCCACCCTCTAGCACTGCTTCTTGGGAGGAAAGCGATGACAAACCTTGACAACATCTTAAAAAGTAGAGACATCACTTTGCCAACAAAAATCCACACAGTCAAAGCTATGGTTTTTCCAGTAGCAATGTATGGAAGTGAGAGCTGGACCATAAAGAAAGCTGACCGCCGAAGAATTGATGCCTTTGAATTGTGGTGCTGGAGGAGGCTCTTGAGAATCCCCTGGAATGCAAGGAGAACAAACTTATCCATTCTAAAGGAAATCAACCCCGAGTGTTCACTGGAAGGACAGATCCTGAAGCTGAGGCTCCAGTACTTTGGCCATCTCATGAGAAGAGAAGACTCCTTGGAAAAGCCCCTGATGTTGGGGAAGAGTGAAGGCAAGAGGAGAAGGGGACGACAGAGGGCAAGATGGCTGGACAGGGTCACCGAAGCGAGCAACGTGAATTTGACCCAACTCTGGGAGGCAGTGGAAGGCAGGAGGGCCTGGTGTGCTCTGGCCCGTAGGGTCATGAAGAGTCGGACACAACTAAATGACTAAATGACAATGACAAAAAGAAAAAGAAGGAAACTGAGTGTCTCTTTACTGCAGAAATCCATTTGAGGATAGGGTGGGAGGAAAGGAGCTTTAAACAGCATTACAGAAGTCCCTAGAGAGTTGTCATTTGGAACAAGAAGAAGGAAATGATCTCAGTGGAAGGAAGAGGAAAGGAAACAGCCCAAGAGCAGCAATCCAAACGCAGATGCAGAAAAGACAGGAGGAGAAAACACACCCAAGCCATCCATTGTTCCCACACCTGTCGCAACAGCAGTTAGACCCACTGACTCCCCCAGGAAGTTAGGCTCATGGCATGGCATGGCTCAGACCCACCGGAGGCCAGAGGACCTTACTCGGAGGGCTTTGAACCGGGCCCAGATTCCACCCCACTCCTGAGGCCGGCCTGGGGCCAGCGAGACACCGGCCCAGAACCCATCCCCTTCCCAACTGCCTGGGCTGCAGAAAAGTGTCCATCTTTGCTTGCATCCCCACCAGCTCAGTAAAGCATTCCCGTATGTGTGTGTGTGTGTGTGTGTGTGTGTGCGTGCGTGTGTGCGTCTGTTTGTGTATCTGTGTGTCTGTGTGTGTCTGTGTGTGTCTGTGTGTGTGTGTTTATTCTCACAGAAGGATCATTTCCTCAAAAGTGCTGTTGCCACGGGAACCGGGCACTTTGGCCTCTGTGCGCTGCTGCAAGACGCGGCCAAATGTTTGCCAGGCAGGGAAGCCAAGCTGGGGGCCCATCACAAGGAAACGGGGATTTTTTTACTCCCTCCGGACAAAAGCAGGCAGGGAAGGAGGCTGGGAATCGCTTTATTTCTCTCTACTCCTGGGTTACCTGCTTTGGGGGGTATGGCCTCTCTCTCTCTCTCTCTCACACACACACACAGACACACACCACCCAAAGTGACTATCGGTCAGACAGGCAGTATAAAAAACAAACAAACAAACAAACAAACAAACAAACAAACAAACAAACAAGTAAGTAAGTAAGTAAGTAAGTAAGTAAGTAAGTAAGTAAGTAAGTAAGTAACCCACTGAGATAAAAACATCCCTGTACGTAAGGACATTTTAGAAGCCTTTGGATAGGGATATTTTTCAGGTTTTACGCCACTCTCCTGTCACTCCTATGTGGGCCAGAGACGTCTTCTTCATTTCACCTTTTGACTTTTTTTTTTTTTAAAATCTTCCAATTTCCACGGTCCAATATTAGAATCTGCCACTGAAGGGAAGCAGAGGGGATTCGGGGGGGGGGGTCCTTCTGTCTTGCTGGGGACCGTCAGGCAACTAATGAATCATTCACAGAACCGTAAATTCCTCCTGCCAGGCTTGCTGAGCGGTAAAGAGCCACAAATTCCTTGCCACGAACACACCTCCCTTGCTTTGGGATGTGGGCTCCTGACCGACAAGGAGCTCAGAACTGCCTCCCAAATTATGGGAGGGGGCTTCCTTTCCACCTCTAAAGCCGTTCTCCTAGAGACGAGGTCTGTCCAGCCCTTCAGCCTGAACGCTGGTTTTGGTCTCCAGACCTTCTGACGCATCCCAACCATCCGGTGAATGCAGCTCAGTCAGAGATGGGGTGTTACTCCCCTAAGTCACTAGACCAGGGGTTCCCAACCTTGGGCTCCCCAGATGCTGTCCTTGGACTACAATTCCCAGAAGCCTTCACTGCCAGCTGTGCTGGCCAAGGTTTTTGGGAGTTGTCGCCCAAGGACAGCATCTGGGGAACCCAAGGTTAGGAACCCCTGTTCTACCCAGTGAAGTTCTGTAGGGTAGGCCATTTCTCTTTTTATGTATCTCATTTACAGTATATCCCGCCACTGTGCTAAGAAGAAAAAGTTCCTGAGATGGCTACCAGATACAATTAAACGGATTAAAAATAGATTTAAAAAGAAACCATGTTATTAAGTGCCATCAGCTCAGTTCAGACTAACGGCAGCCTTAGGACTGACCGGGGCATCATCTCCAAAATGTCCTGCCATGAACAGCCCTTCTCAGCTCAAGGCAAACTCAAGGCTGGCTTCCTTCCTTGAGTCAAATCAATTAAGACAAATTAAGCAATAAACTCATTAAGATGACAATAACCGAAGCCATTAAAACCATCACAAGAAGTCAATAAAAAGTTTAAAAGGTCAGTTTGAAGAGCTCTGTCTTCTAAAAAGTACATTCCTCCAAAACTATTTTCTAAAAAACAGTGAGGATGACAATCGACACACCCCCCCCGACCCAGGTAATTCCTCTGGGGCGCTCAGTGCAAAAAGACAGAATACAAGTTTATACAATGAATATACATTTTTGAAAAATCCAAGCACATTATAATTAATACATAACCACCCTTTCCTTCTCCACCCTCTGTCCCAGGCTCAGGCATTTCATGATGCCAGCCTCTAAAAGAGACTGTCCCTTCTTGAGTTAGACCTGTCCTAAGCATCATCTTTTTTTAAAAAAGATGCTTTCCGCTGGCCTTATGAGCTAGGAAGAAGGGTCAGTGGAGGGGGGGGTTGCCCTCTCTGGTGTTGCTGGGCTCAAGATCCGACCCTCGGGAGCTGAGAACCAGAAGGAGCTTTGCCATTCAGAAACGTATATTCTGAAATAAATCTATATTCAGCCCTTGAAATGCTCTGAATCGCAGTCCTACAGCAAGTCACTAATCAAGTCACGTCTCAGGAGGACGTGACTGGACTCTCCAGGCCCACCAGAAATCTGCTATCAGGAGCTTATTCAGTTTGGAGATTGTCAAAACACAGGCCAAGCAGGAAAAAGAAGAAGCCAGAAGACAGAGATGCTGTTATCTGCCTCTGATTTATGATCACGGGTAGCCTTGAGGAGATTGCTGGGTGGTGCAGCCTTCCTGCAGCAACCAGAAAGCAGCCGCCGCTCCTGTGAGAGTCTGGGGGAAAAAAAAGAGCTTCATTCCCCATGAAGCCCACGGCAAAGCCGTTTTGGGAAGCATCGCATTGACCGAGTCATGCCTTCTGGGTGCGGTAGTCCCA